GGGGGGAGGGGGAAGTGTAGAGGACGGGTTTCTAGGATATGCCCTTTGGTCGGAAGATGATGCATGGAGGGGATTGGAACCATGGCAATGAAATGATATATGATGGAATGAATGTAAAACTAAAGTTCTCTCATGTAAACTATCATATAATTCACAATAAAACATTAAAAATAGATTATTGAAACATAGGCAAATTAATTTTAATATTTTGAGAATTGTAGAAATATGAAAGAAAAGGGTTAAATTCGTACACTTTTATGACTAGAGATTTCAAAGACATTAAACAGTTTTCCTTTTAAACCCATACAAGAATAATGATACACAGAAAACAAAAATGAAAACTTTCTCTTATGCAGGCAATTTGTGTTTCAATTGGAATCACATTTTGAATTTATGTTCTAAAGAGAAACCAGGAAGAAAAGAATCCTATAAAACTATCCCAGGTGCTAAGAAAGCCTATAATAGAGCATGTTGATTGCTAGACGCATAAAGTACTCTAGAGGAACAAAAGGGATTCTTTAACTAAGCTTAGACGTGTCGTGGGAATTTTCCTGTTTGGTATGGATCCCACACAGTATCTTCATATTACAAGATAGGTCTGCAGTCAACAATGATGCACTGACCAATATTTTTGGAGTGGAATGACACAATCAGAGGTTAACTTTGCATTTTCTTTCCAGCCAGATGTTCATCCCGGGAAGTGCTGGTCAATTCCAGGCTCTCAGGGACATACCCTCATCAAGCTGGCCAGGAAGATTGTACCAACTGCCGTTACCATGGAACACATCTCAGAGAAGGTCTCTCCCTCAGGAGACATCTCCAGTGCACCCAAGGAATTTTCTGTCTATGTGAGAAACTCTCTGTATCTATCATTGTTGTTGTTGTTAAGTGCTGTTGAGTTGGTTCTGATTTAAGGCAACCCTGTGTAAGGTTTCTGAGGAGTGGCTGGTGAGTTTGAATTGCCAAGCTTGCAGTTCAAACTGACCACGTGGTCGAGTGCTTATCCTACAGTGCCACACTAGGACTCTAATCTACCGTTAAGAGTAGTTTATGATAGAAAGTGTTTGGTAATGAATTAGAAGCTGGGTTCTTATCTTAAAAGTACAGCTATACTATTGTATCATTGTGAGAAAGTCACTTCATTTCTTGGATCCCCATTTTCCAAAGCAAGAAAGTTGGACCAGACAATTTTTTTCTTTTTACTTTTATATAAGTTATATGCACATATAATTTAAAAAATAAAATATTTTCACACTGAGGTCTAATTCTCATTCCACACAAGCATTCTCCTATAACAATTTTAGCTGTTTATTTTGGGTGCTTGTCTATATTTTCTATTAGTATTATATTTGGATTTTCACTTTTGATGCTTCTATACTAACTTCTTCCTATAGAAAATGAGGATTATTTCTCTTACATTACTCCCCTTATCATTCCATCATACTTATATTTTGTCTTTTAGTAACAACTTAATGGAGCTAAAATCCACAGACTATATAATTTACCCATTAAAAGTGTAAATTTTGGTAGCTTGCAGTACATTCACAGTTATGCATTTATCTCCATAATTTTAGAATATTTTCATTATCACTAAAGAAACCTTCTCCCTGTTAACCACAACCTTCCACTTTCCCCATATCCTTCCCCCAGCTCTAACCAAACCCAAACCTAACCAGGTAATCTCTAGTCGACTCTGCCTCATGGAGTCCCTATGTGAGTGCCTATGTGTTGCAGAATATAACCGTGCTAGAGGAGTTTTCAAACGTCTGGATGGGTTTCGACAACCAGCGTTTTAATTAGTAATCGAGCACTTTACTGTTTATATCACCCAAGGACTCCTGGATAACCACCTTAATATACTTTCACTATAGGTTTGCCTATTATAGATCATTTCATAGAAATGTAATCATATCAAATGCACTACTTGGTTACTGATATTTTCACTTAGCTTAAAGTTTCCAAAGTTATTTTATGTTGCAGCATGTATCTGTATTTCATTTCTTTTACTGCTGAATAATATTCTATTGTATGTATATGTTGTTGTTGTTAAGTGCCATTGAGTTGATTCTGACTCATAACTACTTTGTGTTGAGTTTTTGGTAGTCCTGATGTGCCACTGTAGGATAAGCACAGGACAGCTAACCACAAGGTCAACAGTTCAAACCCACCAGGAGCTACTCGGAAACCCTATACAGGATAGTGAAGTCAGAACTAATTCAACGGCATTTAACAACAAACACGGTTTCCAAGAAGAGGCTGGTGGATTTGAACTACCAGCCTTGCAGTAGCAGTCCAGTGCTTACCCAACAGTGCCACAACAGGACTCCATGTTTTATTTGTACATTCCCCAGTTGATGAATATTGGTTTAAGGAGCTCTGGCAGCATAGTGGTTACGAATAGGGCTGCAAACCTCAAGGTCAACAGTTCGAAACTACCAGCTGATCCACGAGAGAAAGATGAGACCTTCTGCTCCCATAAAGATTCACAGCCTCAGAAACCCTATACAGAGTCACTATGAGTTGGAACCGACTCCATGGCACATAACAACAACATATATATTGGTGGGAGGCTGATCCTTGGAAGCCCTATATATATAGGGTCACTGTGAGTCAGCACCAACTCAATGGAACTTAACAATAACAACATTATGAATTATAAGAAGCCCTTATATCAAATGGATTATTAGCTGGGCTGCAAACCAGTTGTTTGCAGGAGAAATACGAGGCTTTCTGAGTCCATAAATATTTACAGCCTCAAAAACTCTATACAGGGTTGCTATAAGTCAGAATTGACTCAATGGCACACCACCACCACCATTAAGAATAATTATGCTATCAACATTTGTGTACAAATTTTGTTTGTACATATATTTTCATTTCTCTTGAGTATATACCTAAGAGTAGAATTGCTAGAGTGCTGATGTGGCACTGTAGGATAAGCACTGGACTGCCAGGTCGGTTTGAACTACAAGGTCTGTGGTTCGAACCCACCAACTGTTCCTCAGAAATCCTATACAGACGCTTGATAATTTGAGTCAGAGTGAACTCCACTGCACTTTACAAGAAGATTTGCTAGATCACTTAGTAACTCTGTTCAACATCTGAGAACTGCCAGACTGTGTATCTTATCTTTGTTTCAATCAATATTGTTTCCATTATGACTTTGTGAATAATTTTGTTCTCAGTTGAGTCATATACAAGGGTAAGTCAAAAGGTAATGCTACAAAATCATAGAAACCTTTTTAAAACAAAAATCTCAAAATCTCAAGCTATTGTTTCCCAACATATCCTCCACCTAGATCTATGCATTCTGAAGTCAGTGTTTTCATCTCTAACCCTTTCCCGAAGAATGTCATGCTCTTCAATTTCTATGTTAAAACTGCAGCTTTGGCATCCTCAAGGAACTCCAATGGTGTTACGTTGAAAGGTTCTTTGAGTTTGGGGAACAAACAGGAGTCTGAAGTGGTAAGATCAGGGCTGTAGGGCAGATGGGGTAAGATTTCCCAGTGAAATTATCTTAGGCTAGTTGTTGACCACCTTCAAAGAATGAACAGGTGCATTGTGATGGGAAAATGTTCCTCAGTGTTCTGGATTTTTTATTATCACCAATGCAGTTTTCAGTTTTCTTCAAATTTCTTTATAATAAGCCCCTATAATCATTCTTAAAGAACATCTCCCAAGATTACTGTTGAGATGCCAAAAAACAGTAACCCAAACCATCTGATCTGACCTCTCTGCCTTGAATTTAACTGAGCCAGCAGAGCCTCTCAGAACTAATGTTTTGATTGGATCATTTTCTTGAAGGCCTCCTAAGAAGACTAAGAGCATAATAATTACATTACTGTGAGAACTTGCCTGCAGTTATCCACTGATCACACAGACATGATTAAACATCTTTTGTTTGGAATAAACCCGTGCATGTATGAACTGGAATATTAGTAACAATACTTTTTTCATTTACCCTTCATTTTCCTTTTTATGTGTGTGTGTTTAAAAAACCCCTGAAATTAATAATTGCATTTTTATTTAATTTGCATAGTTTTCTATATTTCTATAACTAAACCATATCTAAACCCATCTCCAGAGAAGTAAGTATCCTTCTATTATTCTCATTAACATCAGCTAATTAACAAATTTTATTATTTGAGAGTTTCCTTTGGATTAGGCCTGATACACAGCTATTGTGGGATTTCATCTCATTTGACTTACAATTTAACCTAGATTTACTTTTTAAAATCACTTTTTTATTTTCCTTCTCTAATTTTATTTCACCTTCTAGGCGATTTTTCTATATAGAGAGTTTAACTCCTATGTTTAATTTTTCATTTCTTCTGTAATTATGATTTCTAAGAGCTCTTTCTGTTTCTGCAAACATTCCCTTTTGTAGAGTCTAATTTTTTTCTTTCATGTATGAGACATCTTCTGTTATATCTTTGAAGATATTAATTATAGTTTTGTTAAATTTTCTTCTGCTTCCTTTTCTGTCTTTATTTATAAATACCATTTTTGTTTATATAATCTCCATGTGTCTTGTTGGAATACTGGTGTGATGCTATAGGCTAAGCACTGGACTGTGAACCACAAGGTTGGCTGTTCCAGCCATTTCCAGCCACTCTTTGGAAATCCTATACAAGGTTGATAAGAGTCAGAACCAACTCCACAGCACTTAACAACATCAACAACAATATATCTTGCTTAAATGGCTTTGCCAAACATTTGTCTATGCCTGTCTGTCTGAATTTCAGAGTTGAGCAATAAAGCACTGACTAGAAAGCTCTGTATGCATGGTGGGGCAACAATGAATTTCATAGGTAGAAATGATCTGGGTGGGCCCTTTTATTTGGACACCCCAGAATCTGGTGCCAGGTAAATTTACCCAGAAAGGAATCCTGCACTGTTTACTTAGGAGGCATTTACTTGCAGGCCTCCTTCTAGGAGGCGCTTAGAAGAGGCCCATGAGTCTCACGACTTAATCCATTATTTTAAATGGTATTCCTAATGTCAACTGTAGTAGAATTGGAAGGAAGAAGAGGAGTCATCACTTATCAGGGACTGAAGATCTAATTATTCCTTGTGGTGAGTTTGCAGGAGTTTGGGGTTGATCAAGGAAGAAGTTACTACTTGTTACTATTGTTCTTAGTATTTCAGTTCATACATGCTCAGGTTTATTCCAGACAAAATGTGTTTAATCATGTCTCTGTGATCAGTGGATAACTGCAGACAAGTTCTCCCAGCAGTATACTTGTTCTCGAGTTATACATCGGAGCTATTTTTGCATTGTCAATTGCATGTAAGAGGTGGTCTCCCCCAGCAAGGGTCTTCCAGAAGCAAGTAATGCAGAGAACCATCAGGAGGGACGAGGTCAAGAAAACCCCTCAGAAGAGAAGGGAGGGAGATAAGCTTACTTGCACCTTTTACAATGTCTTCCTTTAGTAAGGTAGGAAGTCTTTGGGTCTGAGAGTGCCAAAGAACAGGTACAGCTGGAGGTCAGTTTAACTACAAGGTTGTACTTTGTGACCTAATTAATGAACAGTCTATTCTGGACAATGTTCCATGTATACTGTTGTTGGGTTGAGTGCTTTGTATAAGTTTATGAGGCCAACTTGGTTGATTGTGTTGTTTAATTCTGCATCTTTGTTGAGTTTCTTTCTAGTTGTTCTGTGTTCATCAAAAGTAGTGTATCAATATCTCCTTCTGGAGCCTCTGGTAGCGTAGTGGTTACAAATTGGGCTGCGAACCTCAGGGTCAGCAGTTTGAAACTACCAGCTGTTCTGCAGAAGAAAGATAAGGCTTTCTGCTCCCGTAAAGATTTGCAGCCTGGGAAACCCTGTACAGGGTCGTTATGAGTCGGAACCAACTGGTGTGGTGCTGTAGGATAAGCACTGGACTGCAATGTCGGTTTGAACCTACTATTTGTGTTGGAGAAAGATGAGGCTTTCTGCTTCCACAAAGATTTAAAGCCTTGGAAACTCTATACAAGGTTACTATGAGTTCGAACTGACTCAGTGATACTTAACAACAACAGGACTAGCAGATACCAGGCACATTTGGGAGATGTGGTAAAGTACGCTGTCTCTAAGTGGCTAAAAATATGTTTATTTGGATCATTTTTAAAACAGGTGAATGTGTATCAATTTGAATTTAGCATTGATGGGCTCTTTTGGAGTAATGGGCCTCAGCTTGCTATGAAGAAGTAAATGACTTGGGGTTAATACGCAAAAGCCATCTTTGGCTCATTTATATAACACTCCTTAAAAAGCCCCTCTTGCAGTCCCCACACCCCTACCCTGTGCCTCCAAATTCTAGGCCTTTCTGGGGTCCAACGCTATGTCTTCCTGTTGTTGAGCCTACCCACAGAAAGAGCCGTTGTGTTTTTAGTCCACTAAATCATACACCATATGCCACTCTCTAAATTATTTTGTCTTGTCTATTTTCCACTTTTCCCCTTTAGGTTTTTACCTAAATGTTTCCCCAATAACCTTACTATCTAAAGGAGGAATCGAAGTTGTACATAGGTGATTGGTATGTCTTGTGTATAATCAAAATACCACAAAATTTCATGATTTTGGAATTGCAAAACTTTAAAAAGGATTACTCTTCTTTGATGTAAGCCTGCTACTTCTAGATAGAAGTATTTCTAAAATAAACTTAAAGTAACATTACATTTGAACAAATCAAATCCTTTCTTAGAGGGTTTGGACACCAAAACCCAGAAAAATCAAACCAGTTGCTGTCAAATGGATTCCAACTCCTGGCGCCCCATGTGTGTCCGAGGAGAACTTTCTCCATAGGATTCTCAATGTCTGATATTTTCAGAGACAGATCGCCAGATCTTCTTTCTATGGAGCCTCTGGGTAGACTTGAACCTCTACCTTTTGGTTAGCAATTATGTGTGTTAACTGTTGAGGTACACACAGCTGCCATTATTTAGAAACAAGGGTAAACACTTCAGGCAAGAACCCTTTAGTAATGGACTAAAGGAGTCTTTAATCCTTTTATCTTTATTATTAGGGAATTTGTAAACCAAATGAAATTAAAATAGAGTAATGAAGGAGACAGAAATAAAACTTGCATCCATTTCTTAATTGTTGTTGCTGTTATGAAGTGCCGTCAAGTCAGTTTGACCCATAGTGACCCTGTACAGGGTTTCTGAGGAGCAGCTGGTAGACTTGAACCACTGACCTTACAGTTCAAACTGACTTTGCAGTCCAGCGCATTAACCCATAGTGGCATACTAGAATTCCCCTTTCTTAATGTTGTTAAGTGCCATCGAGCTGGTTCCAACCCGCACCGACCCTATATAGGGTTTCAGAGGAGTGACTGGTGAGCTTGAACTGCCAACATTGTAGTTCAAACCGACTTTGCAGTCCAGCGCATTAACCCACAGCGCCACACCAGGACTCCTTTCTTAATAGGCTATAGGAATTATGTATGTCTTGAATTGCCTATGTAATTATGAATGCAAAACAGTAATGTGTTTAGTTTTAAAATAAAAATGTTATAAATAGTATTGCTTTTATTATGACATAGGTTAGCTGATGAACTTTTGTTTTTTTACCATAATTTGAAGTACCTAGTAATAAACTAGATTCACAGTAATTTCCACTAATGTATTCTTCCCTCAAAACACTTGAATTTTGAAAGGGTGAGAAGAAAAGTAAAACTATAGCTATTAATTACCGTAACACCTTGCCCCTGGTGGTACCCAAAGATGTCTGGTGAATTGTTGTGACTTCAATAGACAACATACTTCCATTTATTTTAATCAAGCATCCACACATTCTAACCTCTATGCTTGTTTGTTTGTTTGTTTTTTAAATAGGGCATCTCAAAAGAATGTAATGGAGAAGAAATTTTCCTAGGCCAGTTTATATATAACAAAAAAGGAACCATCATTCAAACATTTAAGCTTCAGGTAATGAGAGCCTTGGGGAAAAGGGAGGAGTATACTTCATCACTTTGGAAGGATTTATTGGGATTACTTAGTGGAAAGTTGTTAAGTGCCTTTGAGTTGATTCTGATTCATTATGATCCTGTATAGGGCTTCCGAGGAGCTGCAGGTAGGTTTGAACCATAGACTTTGTGGTTAACAGTCCAGTGCTTATCCTACAGTGCTCTAGTGGAAAGTCTTATGTGAAAATAATTGTGAGAAATTCTTGAGTTAAGCAATGCTTACTTAAATGCTTAGCTCCAATCTCTTAAGATTTTAATGCACAAGACAACCAAGTGTGAAAACAGTTACTAAGCCAATTCTTTCTTATCTACTAGCAGTTCACTCTATATTTTCAGTTTTTCAGTCCTTAACTAACTTCCTTCCTTTGATATACTAAGTAAGTTTGATAGCCACTGTCTAGCTTTTCTAGAGAAGCAAAAACAGTGAAGGGGACTTCAGAAAGTTCATGGAAAAATGTAATGAAAAGATAATGAAATTTTTCACAAAAAATTTTAAGTCCCCTCATATATACAGGCAGGTAAGACACCACACTGATAGCTCACATGCTATAGAGGCTAAACAATCCAAGGCAAACAAGCAATATGGCAGGCTGCCAATTCAAGTCACAAGAACGGTAGTTAGATCATGAGAGCTGGATGCAGGATCCAGATTGAACAAAAAGCTAGCGCTCTGCCTGATGTCCATATATATTTGATGTAGATCACACCCCTGAGGAAACTGCCTTTAAATTGTTTTCTTTTGAACTCATTAATTTGATTTTTTCTTGATATTCAGCATGAAGCTTCTGAATCTATATTATGTGTGAAGCTTAAAATCCTCAGCAATTGGGGGCACCCGAAGTATACTTGTTTATATCGATTCAGAGTTCATGGCAACCTAGATTGCATCTAGAACAGCTGCTATTGGAAGTCATGTCTGCAGGTCAAGAACTCTCAAGTTTTCTTACTCTCTGATACTACACAGCACTCCTAAAGTCAAAACTAGGGAGTGGGAGACAAAATTCAAAGTAGTTCATACTTGCAACACACAGACACATACAATGAATGGATTTTACTAATAAAGAAATATGAAAATAAATTCTATCTCTTTGTGGTAGTTTAGCTTTTGAGGCTGAGTCATATTGCTGGAACACTACAATGTGTATCTGTGTTTGTTGTTGTTGTTGTTGTTATGTGCCGTGTAGTCGGATCCGACTTATAGCGACCCTGTACAGGGTTTCTGGGGCTGTAAATCTTTACGGGAGCAGAAAGCCTCATCTTTTTGATGAGTAGTCAGTAGTTTTGAACTGCTGACCCTGAGGTTCGCCGCCCGATTCGGAACCACTACGCTACCAGAGCCAGATGGTATTATTCAACTGTATTTTTCATGATGTTATCTTCGCACTTCATTCATTCATTCATAATAGGCAGTAATGTCTACTGCCATCACTACCACTCAACACTTCCCTGGAGGCACAGGACAAGGAAATTGGATAAGAGGAGCAAATTAAAGGGAAATGTCAGGAAAGAGGGGATTTCTTTGCAGATGATTTTTAATGAAATTCTTTAAACGCCATAGAGTCCAGTGCATTAACTCACAGCATTACACCAGGACTCCATCAGTTAGTGGATACAAAATGATTACATTAAAAAATGGCATTCATAAATTCAAATTACCAGCTAGAGTGTATAATTTATGAAAATCATAACCAAGAAAAAAAGAAACCAAAATACCTATATGAAGAAAACTTCAAAGCAGCAGTTAATGATTTAAAGAAATCTTCAATAAATGGATAGGAGGGTGAGTCAAACATACGCACTAGTTATATTAAAACACCCATCCACATCCAAGTCTGATAACTACATTGAGTGTGCATGTGAAATAATTCTGTTGAATAGACAAGAGTGGATTCTATGGCAAATCATTTCCAAAGCAGCCATGGCTCTGCTTATGAAATAATCCATGACAGACTTGGGTTTCAAAAAGTTTGTGAGAGGTGGGTATTGAAACAACTCATGAAAAGCATAAACAGAAGTGTTTGGACATCTACCAACAAAATTTGGACAGATACCCGAAGAATGAAAAAATTGTTATTGGTGATGAGACATAGAGTCATCACTATGAACCTGAGAGTAAATGGCAGAGTATGGGATGGAAATATCCTCTATCAACAACCAAGAAAAAGCTCAAAAGCTAATCATCAGCTGCAAATTTTATGCTCACAGTTTTCTTGGATTCTCAAGGTCAAGTATTGGAATACTGTCAGGAAAAAGGTTCAACAATCATTATAGTGAGATGCTCACCGAAGAGCTGAAGCCTAAATTTTGGATTAAATTTAGAGGACTGCCATCCAAGGGCATTGCAATCTTGTAAGACAATGCACGTCCACACCTCTGCCCACACTGTTGACACTCTGCAAAAACTTGGTTTTGAGGTGTTACAGCACCCTTCCTATAGTCCTGATCTTGCTTCATAGGACTTTCACCTGTAAGCAGTCCTTCAAGGATGATTTCCCTCTGATGAAGAAGTGAAGACAGTGGTGCATTTGGGGCTCACAGCTCAGCTTAAAACATTTTAAAATAAGGGAATATGAAAGCTTGTTGACACACGGGCAAAGTTATTGAAAAACAAGGAGATTATGTCAAAAAGTGAAATATTGGTGCTTTCTAAAAGTTGATTAATATGAATTCTATTGTCAGAGTGTGGATGTTTGACTCACCCTCATACAAACTATAACATTGGACAGGAAAATTCAACTGTAAAGATATTAATTCTAAGTAAATTTAGCTTTGTCCCAATGAAAAGGAAAAAAGAAAATCATGAGATAATTATGAGATATTAAATAATTATTGCTAATTTTTTTTTAAAGTGATAATGGTCATGGTAGTCCATGTGTGTCTGAGGAGAACTATACTCCATTGAATTTTCAGTGGTTGATTTCTCAGAAGTAAATCACTAGGTATTTCTTTCAAGGCACCTCTGGGTAGACTCGAACTTTAAACCTTTCAGTTACAGCTGAGTACAATACCTTTTTTTTTTTTAAGTTTTTATTGTGAATTATGTATTTGTTTACATGGGAAAACATTATCTTTACATTCATTGCACTGATCACAATCCTCTGCATGTATCATTAAACATTAAACACCCAAAGGGTATACCCCACATGCCTGCCCCTGGCCGCCAGCACACAACCCCTCTCTCTCCCTGAGTCCAGAGTCCCCAGCTGCTCCTTCTGTCCACGTCATTGCCTCTGCCTTCATCCATTGATGCCAGGTCAAATGGGTAGTATCTGCAAGTGTGGGTGTTCTTGTGCATCCCCCCTCACTTTATATCAGCTGGATGCTTCACACTCCGTTCTAGTCCTCCGGGGCCATGTCCCTGCCCCTGGGTCCAAGAGTCTCCAGGTCTCATCATACTGCTGGTTAACCAGGTCTCAATCCAGGTTGACAGGAGTCTATTGAATGTGATTGGACTTAGCTCACAACTTCATTGCTGTTTTTCCTTCTCTTCCCTTATTGGTGACCAACATGGTCAGAAGCAGGACCATATGCCTGCTGGTGTATTCCATTTGAGTTTCAGTCTTGGAAGGGGATTTTCCTTGAGGGGACCTGAGCACTTGCCTTGATGGCTCCCTGGGGTACAACTTGCTTGTTCTTGTAGTAGTCAATTGGACTGCTGCTGTTTGTTTGTTTCTGCTGGCCTTTCTTTCAAGAGGTATCTTCTGTTCTTCTAGCTGCTCCAGACTGGTCTGCTTGTCCTTTCACATGGGAATGTCCCACCTCAGAAGATTCTGAATGATGATCAGGATGCCACCAATGGTCTTGTGCAGTGCAAAGGCTCTGCAGGGAGCCTCTCCTTCACTGGGCAAGTTCTAGCCCCATTTTAGTTATTCCAAACAATTATAGGCTGAAGACGGATTTACAAGCTTTCTCTAGTGAGAAAGGTTTCTGGCTATTCCTCTCTTTCCCCCTTAAAGTGTCTACAATAGTAGGTGAAGGACTGTAGAGTCCATTTTTAACATCTAACACCTGGTAACTATTAATCAATGCATAATCTTTAGCTCATTTTTGATGTAGACTCTCTAATACTTCGCTCGCGAAATAGCTTTGATGTAAACAACACTGACATAAATTGTTGTAACGTAATCATGATTACCGTAGACTCTGCCTTGTGATAGCTAGAAGAATAGATATATGTGCTGCCTTTGTTATCTCGGTTCTGGGACCAACCCCCTAAACCCCCTTATCTTCTGGGAAGAACGAAGTAAGTGAAATTATGCAGAGGTCAAAGTACACCACAGAGAGGCTGTAAATACCAAACAAGATATATGTCCAGGAGTTCACTGGCCACCTGGAACGTATTTTTCCTTTAGAAACCTCCAGGGAAGGGGAGGAAGGCAGACAGACCCTTGTTGGCACTTAGGAGTAAGTATGTCTGTCTCTGCAGATCTGCTGAATAAAGGCTTGTCATCTAGGTCTCTAATCCTCCGAGTGCACTTCTTAAACTGTGGTCTAACAGTAGGCAAGGGAAACCAAGATTCAACAAACAGCCAAGCATCTTAACATCATTTCCCCACTTTTATCCATTGAAACCATGCCTCAATCTTTGTATCCACGGGCCCTGTTGTTTTACGTTGGTACTCAGATCATTATTTACCTCTGTCCCATTTAGCCCATGTAAACCTGCCGAGCTATTCTCCCATCCGCCTTATTTTTCCTTTCCCCTTCCCCTTCTAGTGTCTTGCCCGCCCGAGCACCAAACTATATGTGTCTATTCCATACCCTGTGTTCCACTCTCCTGTGCCTAGTCCCTACCCTGTGCGCCACCTTCCCCTCATTCTTCCAACCCCACCCCCATACCCTGGTAACCAACAACAATAAAAAAGATAATAATAAAAATAAAATAAAAAAATAAAAGATAAATTTCGCCCCCCTTTCAGTGTGGGTGCTTTTTCTTATTTTTAACAATAATGGCTCTATGCAATAACCTTTTGACAGCAACTGGACTGACTGGTGATAATGGCATTGTGATTTTGCTTTAAAAACCTAGAATTCGTTTAAAGGTGTGCAGTTACAGTCTAGGAGAGTTTTCTAAATAATCAGAGGATAATATGGGTTGGAACATTGGTCATTGAAATTGGGCGCTGATCCATCAGGATAGGAAGTTCAAACACCAGCCACTCCTTGGAAACCCCACAGGGGGTCGCTATGTGTTGGAACTAACTTGGTGGCACTTTACAACAACAGCACCATATATTATACCATACATTATACTATCTACATTGATAAATGATATTTTCAATTTTAAAACATTTTCGGAAAGAATAAGAAAACAAATGCACTGCCACTGAGTGAATTCTGAAGCACAGTGGCCCTGTTAGACATAGTAGAATTCCCCCACAGCTTTCCAAGACGTCCCAGAAGTCGGTCTTTACGGAAGTGGAGTACCACATCTTTCTCCTGTGCAGTAGCTGGTAGGGTTGAACCACCAACCTTCTGGTTTGCAGCTGAGTTCTTTAACCACTGAGCTACTGGGGCTCCCTTGAATAAAACATACATATATGTGGCACTGCTTTGAACCACAAAGTCAGCAGTTCACACTCACAGCCGCTCCTTAGAAACCCTACAGAGGGTTGCTAAGGCATCTAACAACAACCATAATGAATAAAAAAGAGAAAGTTTGTGTTTTAAACCCAATTGATTATAAAGTCCATAAGGAAATTTAAACTTAGTAAAAAGCCAGGAAACCACTGATAAAAAGACAAAGGACCAAGACCTGACATAGGTATAAAGCAGTATTTAAACTGCATCCTGCTGGCTCACCCACCAATCAATGGAACAGACCAAAATGTCCCAAACAAATTTAAATTTATTTGGAATTTACTCTATGAATAGAGTTGGCATTTCATAGGG